TATACAAGATTTGCTGACTCAGATTGGACAACTAGCTACCTTAGTGAATAATATACAGCAGCAAGGGTCTAGAACATTACCTTCTCAACCTATGGTGAATCCTAAAAGTAATGTGAATGTTATCACTTTAAGAAGTGGCAAGGAGCTGGATAGCAGCCCAGTGCAGGCCAAACCAACCCAGTCCAGAGCAGATGTAATAGAGAAGTCTGTATAGCAGCAATAGATCCCTCTTCCATTTCCATCCAGAGCTTCCACATCAAAGAGAGTGGAAGCTGATCAAGAACTGTTGGATACCTTCAAAAAGGTGGAGATAAATATACCACTGCTAGATGCCATCAAACAGATTCCTAGGTATGTGAAATTTCTGAAGGAGTTATGTACATACAAGAGGAAATTAAAGAAGAGGGCAGTCCAAACAGTCTCATCCCTATCTCAGTCCAGCCTTCCACAAAAATGCGATGATCCAGACACATTCTCTATACCCAGTACTATTGGAGAAGTAACCTTTACTAATGTCTTGCTAGACTTGTGAGCTTCCATTAATGCCATGCCATCAGCTATGTATAAAATGCGATAATTGGGAGACTTGAAGCCAACCAGTGCGATCATTCAATTGGCAAACCGTAGCATAACTCAGCCTTTGGGAGTTCTTAAAGATGTGCTGGTAAAAGTCAACCAATTAATATTTCCAGCTGACATCTATATTCATGATATGTAGGATGAAAATTTGACATTGATTCTGGGGAGGCCATTTTTAATGACTACAAGGACTAAGATTGATGTTCATACATGCACATTGTCCATGGAATTCGGAGAGGACACAGTTCACTTTAACATTTTTGAAGCTATGAGACACCTAGTTGAAGGTCATTCCATGATTGTTGATCATTCTATTTTTTTGATTGATGTTGCAGAAAATAATAAAAATATTGATATGTGTACACAGTTAGATGTAGAAGTAGGAGTAGATTTAGACATAGACTTTGAGTTTTCGCAATTTTTACAGTTTTCTGACATGGACATTGATGCATTTCCTAGCTGCACCTGTGACAGTGGCGTGTGTGCCATTTGTGCTGAGATTGATACTTCTATATCCTCTATTTCACCTTCCTTTGCAGGTGCATATTCTAATATTTTTATGGTTGCTAAAGTTTCTTAGTTTCCTTTATCATCCACATAGCAGCAGCCTCCACTAGAGCTGAACCTTTTGCTAGACCACCTCAAGTATGCCTATTTGGATATAGAGCAGATGCTTCTAGTAATCATTTTCACTAGCCTTCATGAGGACTAGTGATAAATGCAGATATGAAAAACATGATGGAAAAAGCTAGAAAACTTATAAAAATAATAGAATGTTCAATTCATTTCTAAATAGTTTAATTATTTAGATTTTGTGAATTTTCTGTGTAAAAAATACTGATTAGAACCTATTTTGCAGGAAACTCTAAGTTGAGATCATAAGGTTGGAGGATTAAGAGAGAAAGATAGAAGAAAAGTAACAAATCTGGAGACAAGGAACAAGAATTGATGATGATGTGTTGGGCATTATCACTTTCGCTGGTGAAAGTGATTGTTCCAGAGCTTGGAAATGAAAGTAAATTTGGGCATGATCACTATTGTTGGTGAAAGTGAGCATTGCAGAGAGTTTCTCAGAAGAGTACAGATGCGCGTTGTCACTTTTGCTGGCAAAAGTGAGCATTCCAGAGAGTTCCTCAACATAGCAAAGTGTGCGTGATCACTATCGCTGGCAAGAGTGAGCGTTCTAGTGTGCGTCATCACTATCGCTGGCAAAAGTGAGTGTTCTAGAGAGTTCCCCAGCATAGCAAGATGCGCGTGATCACTTTCTTTCACAAAAGTGAATACGTGGCCTCTGCGTGGTTACTTTAGTGCAGAAGAGTGATAACGCGCGAAAGGCCGAAATTCTATAAATTGCAGAAAAGCTCAGAAACTTCGGATCTTTTCTCATTTTTTCATTTTCACACCTTAAGAGAGTTAGAGAGGGAGATTGGGGGTGACTTCCAAGCTCTAGACCTTGAGGAATTAGGCTAGGGATTGGATTTATGAAGAAATTCTACAGTTCCTCTTCTTCTACTCTTTCTCTCTCTTTTTCTTCTATGAACATGTTCTAATTTCTTTTTCTTATGGACTGATGGATCTAATTTTGATATTGTAAATTGATTGTGGATCTGGATTTTAAGATCTTGATTGTATTGAACGTTTAATTTCTTCCTTAATGCAATTCTTGAATTTGTTATTCAATTGAATTGAACCTAGAGGATTTTCATCAATGGAAGTTGAGTTAATTTCTCAGATCTAAATTGAATGTCAAGGTTATAGATATCTTAGGGATAAGAATTCGTGATCTTGTGATCTCATAATTTCCAATGCCTCATGCAATGTTTGATTGATTTACACCGAAGGAATTAGGGTAGATAATTGAATATTAGGATCAATGAGTCAAGGAATTGAACTTTGATTAATCTAGCTAAATTGATCATCAATCAATTTAAGAACTTATAGTTCAGATCTACTTCAGTTTTGCAATTGATGAAGAAGTGAAATCAATCCTAAATCCATTCACACATCATTTCATTACCAAAATTCGTTACTCTGTTTTGTTGTGATTTTCTGATTTCTATAGTTTATTGTTTTTGTTTGCAAATGCTCAAAACATCTCCAATATTCGTTTGGCTCAACTGGTTATTGACTTGTGAAGTGGTAATTGATAGAACTAATCCTTGAGGACGATACTTGGGACTCAAACTGAATTCTAAATTTTATCACTTGCTACAACTACCTAATACACTTGCTAGTTAGTGTTCTCTTAGCTTTGTGACAACCAGGAGGAGAAGCTGCTGAATGTTCTGAGAGTACATAAGAAAGCCATTGGCTGATATCCCTGGAATCAGTCCAGCCATATGCATGCACCAGATTCTATTAGACGATGAGTCTAAACCTGTGAGACAGTCCCAAAGAAGACTCAATCTCACCATTCTTGATGTAATGAAGAAGGAGGTGACCAAGCTACTGATAACTGGAATCATCTACCCCATTTTGGATAGCACATGGGTTTCACCTGTGCAAGTGGTGCCTAAGAAGTTTGGGATAACTGTTGTACAAAACCAGGAGAATAAGATGGTTCCACCAGAGTCGCCAACAAATTGAGAGTATGCATTGATTATAGGCAGCTCAACCAGGCTACTAGGAAGGACCACTTCCCTCTCCCATTCATTGACCAGGTCATAGAGAGGTTGGCTGGTAAGTTTCACTACTATTTTTTGGATGACTTTTCTGGTTACATGCAAATACACATTGCTCTTGAGGACTAACACAAAACCACATTCACCTGCCTTTTTGGCACTTTTGCATATAAAAGAATGCCTTTTGGTTTGTGCAATGTACCTGCTACTTTTTAGCGATGTATGTTGAGTATGTTTTCTGATTTGATTGAAAATTGCATGGAGGTGTTTATGAATGATTTTACAGTTTATGATTCCTTATTTGATTCGTGCTTGCATAGTTTGGCCAGAGTTTTAGACAGATGTGTTAAGAATAACCTTGTGCTTAATTATGAAAAATGCCATTTTATGGTAATAGAGGAGTAGTCTTATGACATCTTGTTTCTGAGAGAGAAATACAGGTTGATAAAGCCAAAATTGATGTTATTACCTCTCTATCTTATCCCGCGTCTGTGCAGGAGATGCATTCTTTTCTTGGATATGCAGATATTTACAGGAGATTCATTAAAGATTTCAACAAGATCGCCCTGCCATTGTCCAGTCTTCTGCAGAAGGATGTGTTATTCATATTTTTTTTATTCATGTTAGAAGGCATTTGAGAAGTTGAAGAGGAGGCTCACCACATCCCCTATCATGCAGCCACCAGATTGGGAGCTCACCTTTGAGTTAATGTGTGATGCCTCATATTAGGCACTTGGAGTTGTATTATCATAGAGAGTAGATCATGTTTCTTTGATATTCCTACTAAAGAAGCTGAATGCTAAACCCATATTACTCGATACTTCTTTTACAGAAGTTTAATATTGATATAAAAGACAGAAGTGGTGCGTTGAATCAGGTTGCTGATCACCTTAGCCGCATTGAAGGAACAACAAATCCCTTACCCATTTGTGATCATTTTCCTGACGATTATCTGTTTGCTCTGTACTCTATAGATTCTGCACCTTGGTTTACAGATATTGTTAATTATTTGGTTACTTCTGTTGTACCTCCTCATGCATCTAGATCTCAAGTTGATAAGCTTAAAAGTGATGCTAAATATTATGTCTGGGATGATCCCTATCTGTGGAAATTTTGTAGTAACCAGGTTATCTATCGACGTGTTCCTGATCATGAGTTTCAAGATATTCTGCATTTCTTTCATAACACATCTGCAGGAGGCTGTCTTGCACCACAGAGAATAGCTAGGAGGGTATTGGACAGCAGATTTTATTGGCCCACCATCTTCAAGGACGCAACCAAGTTTTTTGAGAGCTGTGAGATATGTCAGAAAGCAAGAAGGACCATCACCCGCAGGAATGAGATGCCTCAGTAGCCTATAATCTTCTATGAGATTTTTTATGTTTGGAGTATGGATTTCATGGGCCCTTTTCCTATTTCTTCAAGATATTCTTACATTTTGCTTACTGTTGATTATGTTTCAAGATGGATGGAGGCAAACGCCACCAGACTAACGATTCTAGGGTTGTTTCAGATTTTCTTCAGACTAACATATTTTGCAGTTTCGGTGTGCCTAAGGCTGTCATAAGTGATCGAGGAAACCACTTTTGTAACAGGACCATAACAGTGTTGTTCTAGAAGTATGGGGTGACACAGGATTGCTACACCATGTCATCCCCAAACTAATGGGCAGGTTGAGGTATTTAACAAAGAAGTCAAGCATCTATTGCAAAAGGTGGTTAACCCTAACAGGAAAGACTGGAGTAAGTTGTTGGATGACGCTCTTTGGGCTCAAAGAATAGCTTACCGACACCACTAGGGATGTCTCTATTTCATGTGGTATTTGGTAAAGCATGCCACCTTTCAGTGAAAATTGAGCATAGATCATATTGGGTAGTGAAGAGTTGTAACATGACACTTGAGCAAGCTGAAAAAGAAAGGAAGCTTCAACTTCAGGAGCTTGATGAGCTTCGCTTGCAAGCCTATGAGAACTCTAGGATGTATAAAGAAAAAGTCAAAAAATTCCATGATACAAAAACTCTGGGGAAAGAGTTCTCTGTGGGACAGAAAGTGTTATTGTTTAATTCTCATTTGAAACTGATTGCAGGTAAGCTTCGATCTAGATGGGATGAACCTTTTGTGATTACTAATGTTTTTCCCCATGGTGCAGTTGAAATTAAGGATGAAGCTACTAGCAGAGTTTTTAAAGTTAATGGTCACCAATTGAAACTATTCCAAGAAAGCAAACCTATGGAGAAGGCTCAAAATATAGATGATGTATCTTTAGTGGAGCATATTTTGATGGAGGAAGTGTCTACATAGGCACTTAGGGCATTCTTTTCTCTTACCCTTATTTCTTTTCATTATACTTTCCTTTAGTTTTCCATGCATGTCTTTTCACTTTATTTGAATTATTTTCATGTGTTTTTCATTTTCTACCCATCCCCACATTGCGGACAATGTTTGTTTCAAGTGTGGGGAGAGTGTACCTTAGCATATTTTTCATTGGATTCCCTTACTTTTAGATTTCATTTGTGTGAGCAACTTTTTATTTGTCATTCTTAGTTGAGATTTTCATAACATGATAGATTTGTTTCTTACATTTGAGTTTAGCTAGTTTTTCATGATAATTAGATTATGGATCAATGATTGGTAGAATAATTACCTTAGTAAGATTTGAGCTTATTGTCTTTCTTGTGTGATTCACTCATGTTTGTAGGCATTCTAGAACTTGACTTGACTCTTTTTGAGATTATTTGTTCACATGCACTTTTGATATGATTTAGGCCTTCTTTCACATTTTAGCTACTTAGCCAAATTGACTCACCTTGCATTTATTCCACTTGTTTACCCCTTTGAGCCTTATTAACCCTTTCTTGATGATTTTGCAGCTCATTACAAGCCATGTGACCTGAAAAACCATGATTCACCTAACCTTGGAGATTAGATGAGCTTTGGAATTCTTTTGGGAGTTGGTTAAAAATAAGTGTGGGGCTATTGTGTTATATTGTGCTTTGTTTGGAAATTTTGATGCATTATTAGTCACTAGAATAGTAGCTTGAAAAAAAATGAAAAAAAAACCAGGATTTTAGTGTTGAATTTTAGATATCTTTCTACTTGTTTTTAACTCATTCACCATTGCTCTTCTTTCTCTTGGTTTTTAGCCTTGTCTACTTTCTTTTTATCCTACCTTTTCTCTAGACTTGTATAAAAGTTCTATTGATCTTTTTGATGCATGTGTTTAAAATAGTTGAAATTAGAGGCTCTTCAAGCCTATGGTTGTGCTTACTTTCATGATGTGCTTTGAGTGAAAATGTTTACCTATACACTTGAGAGAATGAGTGACACACATCCTTGAGAGAATTTTTGCCAACTGTGATCCATGATTTAGTTAGATTGAAGTCCTATTGATCTTTCTTGCTCACATCACTTTCACTTTAGGATCCATTGAAAAATTTTGCTTTATTTGGTTTTGTTTTGTTGTCTTTTCCTTTCTTTTGCTTGGGAGTGCAAAAGCTTAAGTGTGGGGGTATTTGATGATTCATATTTTGTACTCACATTTACAGCTTTATTGCATCTTCCAAAATATATTTCCTTCTTTATTTATTTCATTTAGCATGTTTTTGCATTTCTTGCATAAATTGGAGTTTTCATGAATACTTGTTATCTTTACTTTATATTTCATATTTTCGCTATTCTGACATTTGTCTACTATTTTGGCCATAACTTTTTTTGTAGATCTTCTTTGTGGCTGATTCTTTTTGCAATGGATTTCTGACTTCCTGGGCTTTAATTTGGACATATGTATCATGCTTTTTGGAGTTAGAAGCTATTTTTTATTAATTTTCAAAGTTTAGACTTAAAACATACCTTTTATATTTATGGTTTTTATTTTAATTACTTGCGGCAGCCTTGGCCCATTTATTTCCATTTTCATTTAAGACTAGTATATATAGGCGTCAAAAGGTTGATTTTGAACCTCTCATTCCTTTTCATAATTTTGTTTTTCTGTAAAGATTTTTTTCCACTTTCGAGAGAAAACCTTTTTTGCTCCATTCACTTGTCTCCTTTCGGATTTTGCTACGTTCTCAATTATTATTTTCTCATGAATCATCTAGTCACAAGCATGGGCTGCAAGATTGATTGATCGCTCGGAGTTTGTCTTTTAGTTTCTCTCAATTCTTGATTAAGATTGGTGCATGCATAATTCGATTAAATATGGTGTTTATTCTTGAGTGTAATAGTGATCAATTGATTTCTTTTGCATTTGAGATTTAGACAAATTCAGTATAGTAATCCAAGTTTGCGTTTATGATTCATGATTTCAATATGTGGTTTTAATTTGTGTTAGTTTTAATTACCTTCACCCTCTTTGCATTCGCTTTTTTTTTTAATTCATTTTTGTTTTTAAAGTCATTTTTGTTTTTGTTTTTCGTTTTTCAATTCATTTTCATTTTTCTTTAAAATCTTTTGTAAATGATTTTTACACGTATCTTATTGATGATAAACCTTTTTCTATTTCACAACCTTTCTCCTCAACTGAAGCATTATTTTGGAAAAAAATTGTTCAATCTGAACTTGATTCCATTTCAAATTGTAATACTTGGACTTTAGTAGATTTACCTCCTGGAGTGAAACTAATTGGGTGCAAATGGATTTTTAAAAGGAAATATTACCCTGATGGATCAATTGAAAAATATAAGGCTAGATTGGTAGCTAAAGATTTTACTCAAAAACAAAATGTTAATTATTTTAATACTTTTGCTCCTGTAACAAGGATTTCTTCTATTCGAATTTTGATTGCTTTAGCATCTACATATAATTTAGTTATTCATCAAATGGACATTAAAACAACTTTTTTAAATGGTGAGTTAGAGGAAGAAATTTATATGGTCCAACCTGAGGGGTGTGTAATTCCTGGACAAGAAAATAAAGTTTGTAAGCTCCTCAAATCTTTATATGGTCTAAAAGAAGCTCCTAAGCAATGGCATGATAAGTTCGACCAAACTTTAGTTAGTAATGGTTTTTCTACAATTAAAGTTGATAAATGGGTATACACGAAATTAGAAAATGGTGAATGTGTGATTTTTGTGTATATGTGGATGACATGTTTATTTTTGGTACCAGCCATGACATAGTGCATCAAACAAAATGCTTTCTTGCATCTAAATTTGAGATGAAAGACATGAGTGAAGCTAGTATAATTCTAGGAGTTAAAATCATAAGGAAGTGTGATAGTATAATTTTATCACAAGAACATTATGTTGAGAAAATTCTAAATAAATTTAAATATTTTCATTTCAAACCAGTGAGTAGCCATTATGATGCTAACACTCAGTTAAAGAAAAATAGAGGTGATCCAATTACTCAGTCTCAATATGCACAAATCATTGAGTCTGATGCATTTGATAAACTTCACTAGACCTGATATTACGTATGTTGTATGCAGATTGAGTAGATATACTCATAATCCTAGTAATGATCATTGGGTCGCTTTGGCTAGGTTATTAAAATATTTGAGGTACCATGAATTATGGTCTTACTTATAGTGGATTTCCAACTATATTAGAAGGATATAATGATGCTAATTGGATTTCAAATTCACATGAAATTAAATCCACTAGTGGTTTTTGTCTTCACCTTTGGTGGTGATGTAGTAACTTGGAGTTCAGAGAAAAAAAAAAGGAATAATAAAGCAGCTGATAAAGGATGAAATTATATCCATTGACTATGTGAGTCAGAATTTAACTTGGCAGACCTTTGACCAAGCCCTTGGGAAAGAATGTAATAAATACCACATTAAGGGGAATAAGACTTAAGCTAATTTGATATCTAACATTGATAGTAACCTAACCTGATGAGTGGAGATCCCATGAAAAGGTTCATATGGGTAATAACAAGTTAATTGTTAGTCTTGCTAGTACATTGTTTATCCTTTCCTATGGTGTGAGAAATATGAGAAGTACTAGGATGCATTAATGTGAGGATAAGCGGAAGCTTTTAATGAATTCTATATCCCTTATAGGTTGTGTATAAAGTGCAGTATGCACATGATAAAATCACCAATATGAGTGTGGAGTAGGGCCGCTCCTATGAGATGATAGCTTAGTCTCTAGAGCACTCATGAACATCCAAGCACATGCATGGCCGAAAAGCACAATACAATGTTAACAGCAAGAGAAATGTATGGTGTAAATGTCATCAAATGGGACTCTTATTTACATAAAAAAAAATGTATTGGTTCATAGAGCAAAAGACACCAAACTCAAAGCATTTACATTTATGATATAACCTAGTTTTAAAATAATTTATTTTATTATATTATATTCTTTTGAAATAAGCGCGAGTTTGTTGGAAATAATATAATTATATTTTAAAAGAATTTATTTATTATTTATTTTATTATTTTAATTTAATTACTATTGTTTATATCTTTAGTTATGTGTAATGTTTACGTGAGCAAATATAGTGATTAAAGTATTTTAAATCCTTTAAGAAAATTGCACTAAAGATGCACAGACTTTTATTATATTTATTTCTCTGTGTTACGAGTTGGGAGAAGCTTGCTAGTGCTTAAGAGTGTTGTATATTGAAACAAGAAGAATCTGCTATATCCTAGAGGAGTTGTGACTACACCGAAATAATCCTTAAGGATAGTGTTCTACACGCCTAAGACTATATTATTGATCAGCCATTTCGGGTCATTTTGACAACAAGGAGATATTCTTATAAATATGACGACATAAGGTTTAATGCATAAAATTATTTGCAATAGCCTCTTAAAAAGGAAGGAATACTTAAAAGTACTTTTATTCGTTAATTGGTGAAGAATAATTTTCTTTTCATATGCTCATGCATCACTTACAACCTCATTAGTGATAACAAGTCTAACATAAAAAATAACAACCACAAAACAATATTGTTCATTGTATTCTCCATACCATATTCTCAACAATGTCAATAACAATAACGCCAACAATTCCAAGAATGGTAATAATAATAACATTAATAATTTTATAAAATATTAATGAAATATCTTCAGGTAAATATTTTGAAACATTCACTTTTAAATCATTTAAATTTTTGAAAGGGAGTGAAGGATACTTTATCTCAAAAACTTGTCTATTCCTTTTTGTAAACACTAGTCTCCTCCCCCTTACCAATTTGGGAAGAGCTAATGCTACTTAAGTAGTTGTGTGACATATCCCAAATCACTTTTAGTTTCTTTGTGTGCACGTTGATTTTTGTGTACAACTAATTTGGCTACAACATAATAATAAAAGACATGTCCAAAAAGTTGTAACGTCCTGAGTTTTGTATTT